AAGGAGCCTGTGGTCAGTGGCGACTTTTGGTAGGATCCTGCTCATAGGAAGAGCCTGAATGAGTTTAGCCTGAGCTCTGCCTGATGCGATTGCTATAGCAGATGGTGGGATTCAGTCAAATACTTGATGCACTGGATTAACTGAAGCAATGATGGGGAGAGAAAAGTGGTCAGGAGAAAGAAGCAGGCATGTAATGTTTCCCCAGTGCATTCATTGAGGGACTTGATTCTTTGTCGCTGACTGGAGTTAGCCCTGTTTTTCCTCTTGATTCATTTGTGATCTTTTTTTTTTTTGGAGTTAGTTGTGCCTGGGCCTGCAGCTATCAGAGGAGTTAGCCAGCGGGTTGCTATTGTTGCTTCTTTTCTTTGGGTTCGCTTCCAGTGTGTGGTGTGGGCTAGGCAGGGTGCAGCGCCTGGTCAACAAGGCACATAAAGCTGGAGCGCAAGCTGCGTGGAAGCTGTCTGTCACTACAACCATTTTCTTTAATGAGTATCTCAGGTTTAAGAGGAAATGTGATTCAGTCTATCACGACACATGGCATCCAAGCTATTAAGCCCACGCCTGTCCATTTCCAGGCCCTGCCCATAGTGCTAAAATGTGCCATAGTTGCTAAAATGTGCCACTGTTAGTTGTTTGGCCATTTCTTCTTTCCACTTCAGAAAGGAAAAGCTTACTCAGTAACCAGGAGGCAGTGTGCATCAGGTCTTTCTCCTCAGAAACAAGGATTGATTATGCTGTGAATATCTCAGTGTCCTTTCCCTTTGCACTGTAAAGTGCCTGGCATGCTTTGGGCCACTGTGATGTTAATTAATAACACCCCTTTGCACGTATCCAGTGTCGAGGATAGGGGAACAATAAATATGGGGGGGGTGTTCTGTAAATAGCGGTATCTATTCTACAAAGGCTTTCTGCTTCAGTGAGGACCAGGCCCTGCAAAGATTGCAGCTTGGAGACTATTGTGTCTGAGCATATACCAGTAGCGTGGGACTTCCTTGATTGATGAGATTAGGGGCATGAAATGTTGCACACAGATCACCCGGGCTCTCTGGAGCGGGCAGCGGGCCATGTGAACCTGAGAGAGACTAGCGTTCCTCTTTTAGACAAGGGTGTTGGTTGTAGCCGTGTTGGTCTGGGGACGTAGGCAGACAAGGTTCTTGGGGTAAATGTGATCTCTTTTATTAGACCAACTCAGTAGTTGGAAAAATTGTTCTTTGCAAGCTTTGGGGCACAAAGACCCTTTTTCAGGCACAGGGGGAGTCTGCTGGGCATTTCCCCGCTGTTTTGGAGGGCTGCAGAGGAAATCTGCTTGCAGGAGGAGGCAAAGGAGTGTCCTCAGCAGCTGAGCCCCACGGACCTCTTCCCAGGTGAAAGGACGGTCCAACCGTCTTCTCTTTTTTCACCTGCCGTTAAGCTGTGTTAGCAGGAGGCAACTCTAGGGCTATAAAAGGAAACAACAGGTCCGTTGGTCTGCGTGAGATCGGTATCTCAGAGAAGGTGGGTTTTTTTTGGTTTTTTGTTTTGTCGTTGCTGCTTTACTGCCTGTTGGCGCCTCAGCCTTTCTGGTCACTGCGCGAGGTGGTGTTTCCCTTCCGGCCAAGAGAGCAAAGGGAGTGGGTGCACTCAGAGGCCTCCCACGCAGTTTTTCCGATGCTGCATGTTTGCCGCCTGCCCTTTGCTGTCAACAATAGAAAGTCAGACTCGAGGTGCCGTGAAAGGAAGGGTGGAGCAGGGCGCTGCGAGAGCGCTCCCTGGGGCCGGCACCCCGGCCCCGAGTCAGAGGTTGCTTCCACTAGGCAGGGCTGTGCTTCTGGAGATGCTGGGTTGCCCCGGGGTCGTGTGTGATGCTCGAAGTCATGCCTGCTGCCCGTCAGGAAGCTCAGCACTGAGCCCCTGGCATGGCTGGGAAGGGGCGTAGACTAGTCCTAAAGCCTGGTCTCGACAGGTTTAAGCCCCACAGGGTCCAGAGCTGGTGGAGCAGGACTGTGCAGAGCCCAGCAGTTTCAGGGCACAGAGATTGAAAGTGGATGACGTGGACAGCGGGGTCTGGTGGGATGGAGGGGTCAGGGGGCCTGTGCAACCTCTGATGCACTTGGGGTTGTGTTTCTACCATGCAGTCACAGCTGGAAGCCTCCCCGAGGGACACCGATGCCTTTCCAAGGCTGGGGGCAGGGAGGGGAGCCTCGGGAGCTGCTGCAGCCATGGTGGGCACGAATCAGGGGGGACTGGGGAGGGACCCGGTGCATGTATTGTGTGTGGTATTGACCTAAAGAGCCCTTCTTTTGCCCGGCTGGGCTTTCCCCCACCCCCGGGACCACGCCGTGCCTTGCTGGATTCGCTGCATCCGATTTTTAAGGAAGCTCAGAGGCCTCACGCTGATTGAAGCCCTGTGCGTTTGTCCCCGTGCAGAACTCAGGCTCAGCTCTTGGCCGCGTGACCTTGTGTCTAAACGGGTGGTGCCTCAGTTTCCCCCTCTGTAAAACAGGGCGAATACCCGGCCGCACCTGGGCAGGGCTGGAAGGGGCACGGCGCAGGCCACGCATAGCACATTGCAGCTTTATCCGGGCCAGGGCGATGTCTTCTCATGGGCCAGCAGGTGGCGGCCTTACTCCCTCCCTTTGTGCCAAGCTCTCCCCGGCTCTGGCTGGGAGCCCAGCCCTGCACCCTGGGCACTTCCCTGCAGCCACAGCTGCAAAGGAGCCCCCTTGCCTTTGCTGGGCTCTGAATGCAGGAGAGAGACGGCGCCCAGCCCTGCTTTAATGCTCCGTGCAAATGCGCAGGGGCGGTGTGGGGCCGCGTGCAGGCAGCGTGCTGTTCTTAGCCAGCCCGAGTGACTTAGGCGCTGGGGTGCAGCTCCCCCCGGCCTCCCCAGGCTGGTCTTCCCTGTGCAATGTGTGCGTCAGCTGCTCTTGTCATTCCCTGCACCCGGAGCCTCTGGTTTCCAGGAACATCCCGCAAAGCTCTCCTGCACCCCCCATGCTGTCGCAGCTTTCCCCGTTCCCCAAGGGCACTGTCCTGCCTCTGGCTGGGCCGCCGGAGCCCTGGAGCAGGAGACAGGCTGTCGCTTGCTGGCCCCATCTGTGTGCAGGGTGCAGCTGGCCATGGGCTGTGCGCGCAGGGGCAGCCTGGCTCCCAGCAGGGCCCCGGCCATGCAAGGGAGTCGTCTCGCTGCAGGGCCGGGGCTGTGACTACTGGGGTCTTGGCTAGTGAGGCCACTGCCAGCTACCCCAGCAATGGCCTCTTTCAGGCTCCAGGATGTCCAGGGGCTGTTTTGGGGCCATGCAGGAGGATGGCTGCCGTGAGGACACTTGCTCAGGCCTCTGGGACTGGGGCATGTGGCCGACCTCAGCTGTGAGGCAATGGAGCAGGGGTGTGCAGGGCGAGACCAGGGGGCATCCATCTGTGCCCTGGGCTGCTGTGACAAAGGTCCCTGTCCAGCAGCTCCCCCTCTTCAGCCTTTGCCTGCCCATGACCTTGCTAGGATGGGTGCACGCACTGGTGATCTAGTCCTGCTCACCCCACAGCCCTTCCAGGGTGGGCAGGCGCATGGAGCTAGGGGCCCAGTTTGCCGCCAGGTCCCCCAGCACTGCCCTCTCCCCCGGCTTTATGCCCTGCGGGGATCTCCCACTCTCCGAAGCAGACCCCGCTCAGCTTTCCTCACTCCGAGGGGTAGATCCAAGCAGGGTCAGCCGGCAGGGCAGGGACGATTGTGCAAGACGTGCCCTTGCCTCTGCTTTGCAGGGGCAGCTTGTGAGAACGGCAGGAAGGGCCGGGGAGGTCACGAGGGAGCTCTCCCTCGCCCTGCGGCTTGAGGAGCAGATACAGAGCGGGGAAACCCGGGGCCACGGGGATGCTTGCTCTTGCCTCTGTTTGCCGGGGTGTAGGACGTGCGATAGGAGTTGAGGTGCCTGCTCTGGGTGGCTCATCCTTGCCCAGTGCAGATCTACCTAGTGCTGCTGGTCAGTCGGAGGGAAACGCTCTCTTTCCAACTGCCTTTGTGCTTAAGACTTTGAGAGCCACCTACGTGAGCAGGTATTTTTAGTGCCGAGCTTATCAGGTGTCAGCGCCGGCTCCGGGTGCAGTGGCAGTGTCGAGATCATGCCTTCCCCAGGTGCTCGCTGGAGTTCAGCTTGTCTTTTAATTAGCTGTGGGGGTATGTGCCCAGCCTCAGCAGCCATGAATCATAGTGTCCAGGCCAGGGCGGATAGGAGCAGGGTTGTTTCTGCTTTTGGGCCAGGGCTGCCGGAGCCCCAACCTGTTGCATGGTGCTTCCCAACCCCAGCAGCCCTGGGGTGGGCTGATCTCAGCACCGTGAAGCCTAATGCACCTGTAGTGCCCGTGCCTGCTGCGGGGAGCTTGGCCATGCCCAGGGAGCAAAGTGCCAGCACATCCGTTCTCCACTCTCAGAGCTGGGCCCTGCTCTCCAGTCTGTGCAGATGGGAACAGGCGGCTCCCAGCACGACCTCTCAGCTGGAGGGGAAATCATCTCTCAGGCTGGGAGCTGCAAAGCAGATGCAGATGCGGGTGCTGAGAACACAGGGCCCAGCCTGCGTGCTGCCATACGACCCAGAGACGAGCTCAGCTCGTTGTTCTCCCATCCGGGCAGCTCCTCCTGCTCTCTGGGGCCAGCTGGATGGCTCAAAACTGGACTACAGGACAGTCAGACCATCTCCCCAGGAGGAACCGGGCATCTCACTGCTTGTGCTAGCTGCCGTACCCCGAAACTCTCTGTATCTCAGTCGTCTGGGATGGGGTAGAGAGGGATGATCCTGGTTGCGCAGGGGTTGGACTGGATGTGACCCCCCTGAGGACCCATCCAGCCTGACTTGGCTCTGATTCCATATCCCAGGGCACAGTGGAGGCTATGGAGAGGGGACTGGTGACAGCACTTACAGACAGACTGACGTACTTGAGGCAAAACACACTCCCACTCTGCACCACAGACCCCCGAGCTAGAGCTGTGCCGTCCAAGAAAACCAGAGGAAAACACTTCTTTCTTTCTTTTTTTTTTTTTTTCTTTAGAAAATCTGGAATAAGTTAAAGTAGCCAACCGTTTATATTAAAATAAATTAACTCCGCTCTAAGGTCCGGCTGGACGTGCTGTCAGCTGGGACTTGGATTCTGTTCAAAAATAGGCCCTAGCTCTGAAGTGCACGAGTTCAAAAAATAAGCTGTGGGGTGGGTTGGGGGAATAATCTCTCTGCAAATGTCCAGTGGGAGGTTAAGGTGCAAGCTGCCTCGGCCCTATCGCCACCCCGGGGCTATTGCCTGGGGGCGGAGGGCCAGGGTGCTAAGTGCTAAGGGTGTCTTCATCATCACTCCAGTCGGGGGGTGCGTCGGTCCCGAAGTAGCGATCTCCGAAATTCCCTAGAGTTGGTGGGTGAGAGAAGGACGTGCATTGGGGTATGGACTGTGCTCTGCGACTAGACTGCTGCCCCCAGCCGTCACCTGGCTGGGGTGAGCTGCATCCCCCCTCTCAGCCCCACGAAGGAGCAAGGACATGAAGGCACACCCGCTGGCGGGGGCTCTGGGCTCTGCAACAGAGGCAGAGGGGAAATGCATCTGTCCTGCCTCCCATCAGACTCCCCCAGCTTCCTCGAGGGGCAGCTCTCAACCAGCAACTCACCGATGCCTGGGATGATGCGGAAAAGGTCGTTCACCTTCTTGTCCACGGCCGTGGTGATGATTTTCACCTGGGGGAAGGCGTAGGCCACTGAGTGGACGCCCATCTCGGCCATCAGCAAGGACAGGAGGAAGATCTTATCCTCTGGGACGTCATGATCCTGAGGGAGAGACGCAGGGAAATGGTGGGCGGGGGTGAGTGCTGTGCCATGGCTCCGGGGTTGAACACAGCAGAGCCGGGGGAAGATTCTCCCATGCACAGGGGATGCCCATGTGCACCCCCATGCCCCTTGCCATGCCACAGGGCTGCTCCCAGGCTGGCCACTGCATAGCAGCAAGTGCCTGCTCCTGCGCCTGGCCTTACCAGCAGGACCCTCACTGCCATCATGGCAGCCGCCCCGGTAGAGACTGTGCAGTCCATGAGGATCACGTGGTCTTCACTGATGTCCTTCGGCAGCCGCAGGTAGTGGAGCTGCAGAGGAAGTGAGATTGGGAACCTGGGAACGGCTCTGGCCACCCAAATACGCTGGGCTGGGTGGGCACAGGTTGCCAGCCTGGTACAGGCCCTCTGCTCATTACTGATCCAGTGCTAATGAGCAAGAGGGAGGAGCCAGCTGGGAGGAGAACAAACTGGGGAGCAGGGTTTAATTGCAACTGAACCCCAGGGAAATTGTAATGGCACATGGTCTTGCCCCTCTCCAGCCCGTGCTGCCCCGCACCACCGGGGTAGAAGCATGTGTGGTTGACTGGATGCTGCAAATGTGCATGCGTGTTTGCAGACACAGCCTGTCACAGTCGGCTCCCAGGCCTCTGTGACTGCTCAAGTAGGATGTCTGTGGCAACCAGCTGCCACCTTCCACCCCCACGGAGGGATGTCCCATGTGCAGCCATCAGATGAGGCATCAAGGATCCCTGTGCCCACGTCCCGATACCCCCTCCCTTCCCCAGGAGTGAGGCCCCTACCTCCGGCTCCCCAGTGTAGCAGTTGGTCTGGATGAGGATGGTCCCGATGCGGACGTCTTTGCACACAGCGCGCAGGGCCGGCTCCATCGTCTCCCCTGCTCTCAGGATCGACACACCTGTGATCTGCAGCAGAGTGGGCATGATGGGGGCACGCCCGTCTCCCCCTTGACCACAATGACCTCAAAGTGCTTCCCAAGGGTGGCGTGAGATCCCCTTTCTCCATGGCCATCCCTTGGGGCTCATACCCACCTTGGGGCAGCAGTGGAGCCATGCCACAGGTGACCAGAACAAACCACCCCCATGCTGTAAAGGCACCTCATCTCCTCCAGCATGATGGGGTTTAGCTGCCTCTGGGGAAGATGCCTCCCCTGACACAGTGTAGGAGGTGAAAGCCTTCATCCCCCACTCAGCATCCACACCCACAGGCAGCACCCCCCATGCATGTCTCATCGGTGCTGTAAGCGGGGCTGACCCGGCTCTCGTTAACAGCTGCTAATTAAGCTGCACCATCCCACGCCCGTGATGAGCAAGCGCCCGAGCCAGCCCTTCCCAGAGACATGGGTGGGCTTTGCTCCTTCCTGCTCACCTGCTTCCCACTGAAGGTCCGTCCTTCATAGTCCTGTCCCTGCGGGGTCTGGACGGTGCAGCTCTGCAGAGAACACAGCAAAAGGCTTCGGTGAGACATGGGGTGAGCAGGATCGTAGACATCAGCAGTGGCCTGGCACAGCAGACTCATGAAAAGCCTTCACCAGCCTGGAAGTGCCCAAGAAACTGCCCCACGCAGTCCCCGGCGGCTGGGAATGGGTGTCCCAGGGGGCCAGGCCAAGGCCTCAGATACAGACCTCACAGCCTTGTCCTCCCCACAAGGCCTGTTTCTGCCTCTGATGGAGGGGGAGCGGCACGGGGCCAGGGTTCATGTTATGAAAAGGATGCCTCAGGTGCACACCGCTACCCAGGAGGAGGATGGCATGAATGTACCTTCATCTTGGGGCTTGAGACAGCAGCAGGAGGTGCTCAGGTCCTCCAGGGAGGTGCTCAGGTCCTCCGGGGAGGAGTGAGGCATGAGATGCTTGGTTGGGCTGGAAGAGACACGACCTCCCGAAGGCCTTGCTGGCCTGTCTGGTCTATGGCTGGACCCCACGTGGACCAGAGCAGGTTGCAGCCGACCTCCAGGCCAGACCTCAACCCTCTGCGGCACCCACCTGGAAAGGCAGGAAGGACAGGGCGTGCTCGATCAGCAGCCTCATCAGCCGCTTGGAGTAGAAGATGAACTCGTCTCGGCTGGTCTCCTTGTTCCTAAGGTGGGGGGAAAACATATATCACCCGACTGGTTGCTGCGAAAGGCCGAAGGCTGCTTGGAGAGATGGAGCTGGGTAGGGAAGGAGGGAGGAGAATTCACTGCCTTGCAATGTGGTTTGGAGCAAGTTCCCTCTCCCGTCCTGGCCTCCAGCCACCCTAGCAGGTCTCAGGACCGGCCAGCTCTTGTTTGCAGAGGCCAGACCCTGCTCGGTCTTGGGGGTGGGCCCTATCCCATCCCCAGGAGGTTGCAGGACACTGGGCAGGATGGCTGAACCCCAATTCCCACTGGGTTCTCCAGCATGCAGATGTCAGCAGCTGGCCCGAGGATGGACAGCAGCTCCTGAGGTCTCCCCACCCTCCCTGCGAGGCCGAGGCTCACCTGATGATGGTGTGCATGCCCCTCACTTGCGGGGTGCTCTTCAGCACACTGAGGGTCCGTGGGAGCGGGTGGCACTGGTGGGCCGAAGCCAGCGCTGCCCTGGAAGCCAACACAAGGTGGGGGCCAGGTGAGCGCTTGGAGACCCCACGCGACATGGGCGGCAGCACGTGGACGCACACACCGGGCCTGAGCTTCCACGCGCCTCCCAATCATCCAGCCAAACCAGCCTGAGCTCTGTGGGTGCAAGGGCAGCAACGTGCCACGAAACCACGACGCCAGTGAGAAGCCATGCTCCAATCAGCCCCTGATCCCGCAACTCCTGGGGGGGATACCAGCCACTGGACAGGCTCAGCGAGGCATGTGAGGGCATCGAAAGCTTCTCCACCCTTCTTCCTCAGGTGCACGGGGGGAGAGGGGAACGTGCACAAGAACCAGGCAGCAGCAGGGGGAAGTGTCTCCCATCTGACTGCCCACGTGCCTCTCTGCCGGGAGTCGCGGGACGGCCCCACAGCAGAAGCAGGGGTCACTGGGACAGTATTGGCACTCCCTGCCAATGCACTGGGTGGCAGGTCATGGAAATAGCAGCCTCCAACTCCCTGCAGGGGGGTTGCAAAGAGGATGGCGCTGGACTGGTCTCAGTGGGGGCAGATGGCAGAAGGAGCAATGGGCTCAAGCTGCAGCAAGGGAAATTTAGGTAGGAGATTAGGAAAAAAACTCTCTCACTAGCAGGGTAGTAAAGTCCTGAAACAGGTTACCTAGAGAGGTGGTGGACTCTCCATCCCTGGAGCTTTTTAGAAGCTGGGTAGACAAAGCCCTGGCTGGGATGATGTAGTTGGGGCTGGTCCTGCTTGGAGCAGGGGGTCGGACTGGATGTGACCTCCTGGGGTCCCTTCCAGCCCTCCTCGTCTACGATCCTATGAAAGCTCCCTGGACAGAGCTGGCCATCCTAGGGATGGTTTGCAGCGGGGGCCGATGCCCTTGAAGTACACGGCGTCAGTCTGAGTGGGGAAGGGCCTCCCTACGGGCGTTGCAGCCAGACAGGGCTGGCTTGGGATGACTCATCTCTGGATGATGAGGCATCATCCACCCCTGCCAGGGCCCGGCCTATTCCTGGAGCAAGGAAGCGCTGCATGGCCGAGAGCTGGAAGCGGGTTCCCATTAGCCCAGCTCCCGCGATCTGACAGGAGCTGTCGTGAGCAGAGAGAGGCTCGGTGGGGCTGGACTCACAGTCGATCTGGCAGGGGAACGGGGCTGGGGCCAGGAAGTCCTTCCCACCCACCTACACCCCCACAGAGATCACACTGGCTTTCACACGTACATATAAACCCACACAGATCACAGGTATGTTTGAGAAAGACAAAAAAGCATCAGTGCCCCAGAGAAGATGATTTAGCAGAGAGAAAACACCGGATTAACGACACACGCATGCAAGCAAACCAACAGGCCGAGGACGCGCGGGCAAGACCCAAGGACCCACGTTCTTCCACCTGTCCTCTAGCCTTGGCCACGCGAATGCCACACAAGGGGGCAAAGGACACTTGCCGGGCATTTGAGGGCTTCTCGATTCTTTCCATAGCTCCAGTGCTAACAGCCACGGGGCTTGTCTCCACGGGGGTGGGCAGGAGAGGGAAGACGCCACTAATGAGCCACGAACTGCATGGCGAACGGCGAGGTGGCAGGGCCTTCGCCCTGCAAGCTGGACTCCTGTTCAGAGACAACGCAGGCATCGCTCCCAACTCGAAACCCGTCTCCAGGCATGTGGCCCTGGAGCCTTTGTCTCCATCTACTGAGACAAGCCCGGAGAGACGTCCCTCCTGTGCAGCAGCACATGCATCCCGGGGTCCCGCCACCCCCCTGCTCTGTGTGGGGATGTCCGTGCCCTGCAGGCCAGCAGCAGCCGTGGCCATGGGCACCAGCTGCCTGCGCGATGGGGTGCACGCAGCCCCCTACAAGTCACTGGAGCTACGAAAAGAGAAGAGCCCCTCAAAGCCTTGGGGACAGGGTGAATGAAGCAGCTGCACTCGGTTAGTGAGGGAGCATGCTGGTTAGTCCGCCCCATGCCTCCCTCGTCCTGGCTGACCGGCTCCAGTGCTCCGTCCTGCCTCCTGCCATTGCTCCAAGCAGCGGCCTGATTCTGCACCCGATCTCTGTGGGGCCCAGCTACAGGGCTAGGCCCACCACCGGGGTCGACCTGACACAGGCCAGCCCATGGGGAGGAGAAGCAGGGACGCTGGTACAGGTCCTTGCTGCCCAGATATCACAGCCCTGATGTAAAAGGATGCTCCATGCACTGACGGACAAGATACGGCTTCTCTCGAGCAGAGCCGAAAGGTGACAGTGGGATGGGCCGCGAAGGACCTGGATGCAAGGAGGAATTGGGGCAGATAGGGGTTTTCCGGAGTGTGTCCCCTTGGGCCGGGGCGCGGACGCAGCAATGGCATCTGAGCACACGTCTGTGTTCAATGGGTGGGGGGGAACCAGAAGTGCTCACTGCCCCTCTGCCTCCATCCCCGCTGAGCAGCCAGGTCACGTCATCCCCTACGACGGCCTGGTTCTTTGCCTTACAGAGGACCTTGGCTGGTGCAAAGTGCTATGGCAAGGGCCGAACCTGGGCGTTCGCGCTGCCTCTGCCCCCGGACCAGCATGCAGCCAAAGCCACGCTGCCCTTGCCCCCGGACACACAGTTAGTATCGAAACCCAGGCCGTGCAGTTCGGGTCTCCTCACATATCCCAGCGCAGCTTCCTCTGGTCAGGGACGTTCGGGGTGGGGGAGACAAGGCAGGAGACACGAGAGCATAAAGATGGGAGGGGCCGGGAAGAAAAGGAAAAAAGGCAGTTTCATTAGTCAGAGGCTGGGAGGGAAGAAAGCTGTGGCGGGGATTCATCCTATGCGGGCAGAGCAGCGGAGACGTTGGCGCACGAGCGGGTGGGAACGACCGCTTCGTAGGCCCCCAAGATGGGCTGCTCTCCCTCGGTTCTCAAGGAAATCCAGGATGGGGCTGAGTTCAGTGGGGAAGAAATGACAGCCCTCTTCCACCATGTGTGCATGCAGTGAAGGTGCAACCTTGGCCGTGGCCTCTGCGGAGCTCACAGTGCCCAGCCCATGGCCTGTGGAGCAGAAGGTAGAGCTGGAGCCTACATTGCCACCCAATGCAATGGTTGGTGGTGGCTGCTGTGGGCAGCAAGTCCATCCCCTTGGGTGGGAGACACCTCAGGGAGTCACTGCTGTCACGGGGGGATTGGGGAAGGACCCAGGCAAGCACCTGCCAAGTTGGCGCCTGGTACCCACACTCAGAGGTGCAATCTGAGAGGTGCCAAGGCTGCGGCAGGCAGGACAGTGCAGTGCGGAGAGGAGCCTGGGCTCAGGTCCCAGCTCTGTGGCCTGGTCTCTCCCCTCCGGTCAAGGTGCCCGCGTCCCACAGAGCTGACCCGAGCGTGGCGGGAACGCCGCATGGCCCCGGGGAGAGGCCACCGCCTGACCCGCTGCAGAGAGCTCGCGCCAGAAGAGGCGGCATGTTGCAGAGCCCATCTGCATCTTGCACCATCAGTCTGACAAGGACCTGGGGGGTCACTCAGCCCCTGTGGCCAAGTGCCTGCACCAGACCAGGCTCGGAGGGGCCCGCAAGCACCTCTCCCCTGCGTTATTGAGCCCTCGAGGCAGGAGGCAGGTGAGCTGGGTTTCCTGCCTCTCCCCCACGGCTTTGCTGTGGCTGGCCAGCAATGGAAAATTCAGACAGGCAGCCCCAAGCACGTCAAGGAAACGTCTCATATTGGAAACTTCTCCCCCCCACACCACCCAGAACAAAAGCTTCAAAGGAGAGAGAAAAGAAAGAAAGAAAGAGAGAGAGAGAGACAGAAGGGGGGTGTCCGTCTGGCAGAAAGGCACCGAATATTGGCAGCTCTTTCTCGCACATGCAATCAAACAGGAAGCAGACAAGAGACTCCCAGCTACAAAGCCGCTGATGCAGCCAAGGCATTTCAAACGCACCCGGCAGCTGGCTCTCGCCTTGACATTTCCAAGCGGGGCTATTAGAGCCGCACCACGGCCTGATATTTAAAGGCACAGCTGGCAAAGGGCATGTTCAGGGGCTGCAGATCAGGGGTGGGATGTGGGGGCTTAGGTTCATGGGGTGAGGGACGGCCTCGCTTCTCCAGCCACGTGAAGGTGGGGGGAATGTGAAGGTGCTGCTGGGTGCAGAGTGTGCCCTGCCGTCTAAGCACCTGCCTGGCTTTAATGGGGACGGTCCAGGTGATGCCATGGGGATGGCCCCATGCAGCTGCGGACAAGCAAAGAGTGAAGCAACCTGGGTCCGGAGATGACCATTTCCTTCCAACGTGCGATGATTTAGTGGCATCCTATTAACACCCAGCTCACCCCAGAAACCTGCCTCTCCTTGCACGCTTTGCTGCCAGCAGCTCTCTCTCTCTCTCCTGACTCTCTCTAGTCCCTTTGCCAAGTGCTAGAGCAATAGTCAAGCCAAAAAGTGAGGATCTGGGTTCCTATCCAGTTGCCTGCCCTCTAGATGGAAGGTGAAGTAGCCTGGGCCCAGGTCCGAGAGCTGCGTCTCTCTCTCTCAGCTGCAGATTACATACAGCCTCCTCACCTGAGCCTCTGAATGGCCCTGGCATTTGAGCAACAGACTTTTAAGCCATTCAAAAAGGAATTAGTGCAGGTAAAAAGCCCAGGTTTCCAGGCCTGTCTCACCCTTTACACCCTGTTCCACTATTTAATGGGTACCTGCCCTCAGACAGGCAGGCTGCTGGCAGCACCCTTATCTTTGGTTCAGATACCGAACTGCAAGCACATCCCAGTTCTTGGCCTTCAGGGTTTTTAGACTTTGACCAGAAAACATCAGTTAAAACTGGAAGCCTCGACTGCAGCATATGATAAGGACTCACAGGTTGCTCAAATGCTGAGGTTATTGTGCAGACAGATATGCACTTAAGGCGTGACCGCATCAGATTTTGCTCTTATCGAAAGAAAATTAGCACTGGGTCACCGCTATGCCATTCAACTGTTGATTTTCAAGGAACAGGAAAGAAATTTACAGTGAAGTCTACTGGGGGCTGCTTTGGATTGAAGGACATCAGCAGCTTGAAAAGCCCCAGGCTATCCCAAATTTTCAACCTCAGATTTTTGAGCAGACAGGCTAGTGTCTATGCCTGTCCCTTTTAACTGTGTTCAAACCTGAATCTTCCTCCAAGTGCAAAATGCACAGTGTTACCCAGCCACACAAAATTTCACAGGCTAAGACTGTGGGAACCGAAGAGATGCAGCTCGCTGCCTGAACTTAACTGTTTTCAGGGGGTGGAAAAAAAAAAAAGAAAAGAAGATCATGGCAGCTTTCCTAAATACCTTAAGTTTTTGTCTGTTTGTTTTTTTAAAGCCTTTTCTTTTTTATGCCAAATGCAAATTTTAGGAGCCTTAAGTGTCTCATTAGACACAGACAGCATCTAAAATGGGAACACATCTGCAGCTACAAAACTCTTTGCTTCCTAGAAAAAAAGATTCAATATCTTAGCTGGCTGGAAGCGAGATGCCGAGAGCATTGCTCAAGGCTTACAGTTACAAACACCTGTGGCTATTTAGTAACTGCAAACTCCTTTGGAGCAAGGCTTTCCCAAAGTAATTGCTGCATCACCTGCCTTCCCATGCAGACCGCTGGAGGAAAGCATGGATTTCCTCATGTAGAAACACTTATGCTCCAATTGTGGTGACGTTATACCTGTGGCTAAGTGGGGTGCCCTATACTGGGTGTCCTCTGGGAACTAGGTTTAAAGCATGGTGATGGGGGAGCTTAAATGCCTTGTGGTGTGGGTTTACAAGGCCACTTAGATGAAGGTGGCCTTAAGATACCTTTCACCACAGCGACGAAGAAATACAATTAAATTCAGGTGGAAACCCACCTCCTATTCCCAAGCTTCACACGCTTTGCAAATCCCCTGCCTTGCAAGTATGCTCCCACTCTAAGGGTCTGTGGCCACATCACATGTGACCACTGGCACTGTAACTTGGACATGCCCACGGTTAAAATGCCCTGCTCCTGGCTGGAGCTGGGGGTAAAGAGCAAGATTTACCAGCCAAGTGAGATCTCACCTCAGGGAAGCTACTGGATTCGAACTGCGGGTCACGGACAGCGCGGGTCAAGCAGTGCGTGGCATTGGAAATGCCTTGGGTTGCAGAGACAGGACAGTGTTAGAGGAACTCTTACCTGACACTGAGTTCACGCTGCAGCAGCAACACGCAAGACAACGCAACCGGTATTAAGCATTGCCAACACCAGGGACATTTAAAGACAAAAAAGGGAAAAAGGAATAATATCCTGCATTCACGTTCGTTTTTTCCCCTCCCGCCACACTAAAAAAAAAAAGCAGCCTCAGGGGCCAGCCTTCTGCATTTCTTCAGGGAAGCACCTGCACTTCTCCCTGGCTACGACGCGTAGCTGGGAGCTTTGATTTTCCAAGTGCCAATGCTGGAAGAAGCTGAAGCCCTTCCACCTGTATGGACACGGACCTGGCTGCTGACACCAGAGGCTGCCAAGATGTGGCCTGGCTTGCTTTACATACAAATTAGTCTTCTGATATTACAGCAGGGTTTCATGCTTCCATGGGAAATTGCCCCCTGCCCATATCTCAGCCTTATAAATGGCTGTTTGCAGGAAGGCAGAAGGCCGCGCCTTTGAACTTGAGGCGAGGGGGAAGTTTTGGAGGGGCGTGCTTTGAATATGTGCTAATAACAGAGCAGTCTCTGTTATCACATGGTCTACTGCATGCAGCTAAAGGCACGGGATTTATGGGTGGCAAGATGGCCATTGTGCACATCCAAAGGCCGAGAGGAGTGGCCAGCTCCATTTCCAAGTGCATCTGCCTTTCATGCACGTGACAGGCATGTTGAATGGCACATGGCTTCCAACACTGAAATCCAAAGGCACGAGGACCCCTGCCTGCAGGTTAGTAGCTGGCGAGCTTCTAGGTTTTGCAGGTTAACTCATGCATTGGGAAGCCCAGCATGGTAGTGGCGAGATCAGCGAAAGAAGCCGAGACCCACAGCAGGCAGGGCGCATCCACCGTTCCCCTGGGCTGAACTCACTGCCCAGAGCCAGGACAGCCCAGTGGGGAGGCTACAGACTCACTAAAGCTGTAGAGGGCTGAGCAGGCCTGTGCCGAGCCATGGTGCCTCCTCAGGAGTGATGCCCTGGAGCGGTCCTGCCCTCTGAGCTGCATTTAGCTCCTTAGTGGCTGGCAAATGGACTAGGATGTTGGTGGTACTGATGGATATTGGGGCAGGGGCTGGCTGCTGGGGTGTAGCTCACCCCCACCCTACCCTGCTGCAGTCTCTGAGGCCAGAGGAAAGGCTGCTGTCTTTGGAACAGGGCTTGCTGCATACCAGAGGCAGAGGCAGGGCTGGGTGGGCAGCAGGGGGCCTGTGGGTATGTGCCCTGCACTGCCCAAGGGGCAATGGTCAGGGCATGGGCATGGGGGAGAAAGACTAAGACAAGGGCAAGTTAGGAGTCATCCTTCCCCTCACTGCTCACACACATGGAGCAGCGCAGCAGAGAGCACATCCCTGCCTGCCTGTGCCCTGCCCAGTGCCGCCGGGAGCTCAGCACTCGTGCTCCTGGCAGCAGAGCCCAGCCGACGCCTCCCGACGCAGCCCTCACCTCCTCCAGCTGGCTGTGGACATGCTGCACGATCAGGTCGATGGCCACCGTGTTCCCACTACCTGCAGCGCATCGAAAATGAGAGACCCGGGATGAAGCTGAGGGATAGGGCTGGCAAAGGTCTCAGAGTCCCTTCTCCACCATGTCCCCCACGGCTGACACTCAGGGAGACGTGGGTGCCAGGACCCAGCAGGAGACACTGAATGGTAGGTCTCAAAGCAAAGGTAGCACCAGGTTGTGAGCGGGGGCAGCCCCATCCACCCAGCTCCTGCCCTGTTACCTGCCTGCAGACAGACCTGGGGGCACAGGACCCTCTCAGCTCCCAGGAATGCAACCCCAGTGGTAGTGGGGGAAAGGGCTGGGGCTGAGATCATGCCCCAAGAGCACAGCGATGGTGGGCGGGTACCTCTGGGCACGACGATGTCGGCCAGCCGCAGGGTGGGCTGGATGTACTGGTCGAAGGCTGGCTTGACGAACTTGTTGTACTGCTTGATGACACCCTCGATGTCCCGGCCGCGCTCGCTGATGTCCCTGCGCAGGCGCCGTACCAGGCGGATGTCCGAGTCCGTGTCAACGAAGATCTTCAGGTCCAGGAGCTGGAATGAGAGGGGCCCAGCACCCTGAGCACTGAGTGTTTCCTCACCCCAGGCCCCTTGGGAGCTATGGAGGACCTGCTTCCAAAAGCAGCAGCTGCTCAATGGAGCGGAGGCTGCTCTCGTTATGAACAGGACACGGAGTGACTGGGTGAGTTCAGGCACCGCTGCTCCCAGGGGTCAGGCAAACCAAGACAGGACAACTCCTGGCAAGGTCCAGCATGAGCCAGTGGAGTTCATTGCCCCTGGAGCTGATGGCAGGCTGCACTAAGTCTCCAGCTGGCTTGGCGATTCACTCCCTGCATCTCAGCAGAAGGAATTCACCTGGTTATTTGATGCCTACAGAGCTCCAGTCCTCTCCCAAACTCCCTTTTACCAGCAGATCCCACTAATTGGTCTTTCCTGGGCTAAAATTTCAGAAGCGAGGGCAGACGAGAGTGGCTGGGGACCGGGACGCAGACATGTTCGCTTGCACCCGAATCAAAGTGGCAAGAGCTGGCGCATGAATGTGGAAACTGGCCAAACCCAGCAAGTTGCCCTCAGCGGTTTTAATCCTCTGAGGAGGACAAGTCAACGAGATCTCCTCCCTCCGCTCCTCTGAGATGTACCCAGCTGACCACTGGAGGTCATCCTTGCTCCACACAAACAGGACATGAGCGCATGCTTGGCAAGACAGGGAAAGTTTGGGATTAAGTGTGGCCGAGGCCTCCGGGGCTGCGTGCGGCTCCTGCTCTCACGTTACATTGTTCATTTATGGTGTCCAGGCTCAAAAAATACAGGAACATGTGGCATTGGTAAGAGGCAGAAGAGCCTGCAGGGGCTGGACATGCTCGTCCTCACCAAAATGTCCACAGTGCAGCACCTCGTGTGCACTAATATGTGTGGCATTTATGGGCAGCTGGATCATGACCCTTAAACTCATTTCCATTCAGGACCAGCTCCCCAAGTCTCTGCAGAAGGACTGGTGCTTCCACCCCAGGTTTTTCCAATGCCCTTCTAGTCGGCTTTGACAGGTTAAGTTTATTTAAGCCAGACAGCAAAATACTGCTAGTCTCAAGAACAGACCCACTGCAAGAAACCCTTTCTGATGCCGCAGAGGACAGCAGGGGCAAGATCTGACCCTCCCTTCCTTCCTCTGAGCCGTGCACATGGGGAAGTGCTTAAGATGAGCTTGCCTACATTCCCCCACAGAGAAGGACGTGGGTCCCAGCAGCGGGACACCCGCGGTCCCGCATCTGCCTATGAGGCTTCTGATCCCTCCCTCACCTTCAGCAGCTCCTTGTCCGCGAATGCCATGATGCCTTCAAAGATAATCACGTTGGCGCCATAGAGGGTTTTCTGGGGTGGAAAAGAGGGAAACCAGTTAGAGAAAAATGGGTGGGAAAGAGAACAAAAAGGTAAAAAGATACTGCATGTGAGAAAGAGCTGATAAAGGCAGAGGAAGAAGTGGCATTGCCCACGGTGCCAGGGAAAATTGAGTGGGCACAAGGGAGGCTGCTGATGGTCTCTTGTGCCCGGCTACAGGCAGCTCCCCTATGCCATCGGTCTTGGCTCCTGTGAGCTCTACCCCTGGGTCCAGCCCTTAGGCTGAGGACTCAGACACACGGGGCTGCCCTGGGCACAGGAACATTTTTAGAGACGGGGTTGCATTTGGGGGGTCAGTGCTGGAGCTCGCACCGTGCATGCCTGCCCCTGGGAATCCCTCTCCACCAGCTCCAAAACCACTGGCTTTATCGCTGCAGCTGCTGGAGGTCTTCCCTTGTGGGACACTTTCCTTACGAGCTTCAGCCCATGAGAGCTTGTGTTATATACACATCCACTTTGGTTGGTCTACAAGGTGCAAATTTACCCTGCCTTCTGCTTGAATGTGGCGAAGAACGTCCCTTTTCCCGTGTCAGACACGAGATGGTGCCGTCACCCACTCCCCGGTACACGACGAGAAGCACTTAGAGCTGCTCCATGCATGGTAGCATTCCCCTTGCAGCAGTGCTTCCCGGCACGTCTGGGGGTTTTCATCCACAGCATTTGAGAGGACGGGGCTTTGATTTTAAAGACACAGGCCGGTTGCCATCTCCCTGCCGTGTGTCCCCCACAGCCCCATGGCCCCTCCTCACCCATTCCTTCTTCCGGCTGTGGGTGGTGAAGTCGTAGATGGGGATCTTCACGCTCTTGCCCTGCTTGAGCTTCTTTAGGGTGGCAATGATCAAGTCAAAGTCAAAGGCATCGGGGTGGTCGAAGTTGAAGTCGTTGTGGGCCGCCTGCTCCTGCTGCTGCTTGGTGAGCACCTACCGGAGACAACAGACCCCGCCGAGGTCATGGCCATGCTGAGAGAGCAACTGGGGGCAGTGGGTCATGGCTGGGAGTGGGGGGAGGTTATTGCCAAGCCCTGCTCATGTGAACACCCAAGCGCAGTGCTGGCCAGACTACCGAGCCAGAGATCCACAGGGCCACCTCCTCCGCTCTCAGTTCATGGGACACCTGGCATGGTGCTGGCTCAGGCACCCACAGCACGGGCTGAAGCCACCTGATGACATACCTGGGAGCCCAGGAGGTGCTGAAATCGGTGCCGCTGCAACTCAGATCTGAGCTATGCAGTTTCAAGCCAGCTCGTGTGTGACTGTACAAGCTGCAGCTACACTCTCGATTGCAGCGTAGATCGTCCTAGCACAGGTCCCATACCCGTGTGCCCTCTGGTCCTCTACCCAGGGCACCAGCCTTTCCTATGGAGGTGAATGGGGACAGGGCTCTGCCTGGGGTGCAGAGCAGCTAGCAGCCTTACCTTGTAAAAGGAGTCCATGGAAAGCAGGACCACCCATGGGACGTCCAGGGCTTCGATGATCATCCTGGCCACCGTGGTCTTTCCGGAGGCACTGCCCCCGCCCAGACCTGACAGAGGGGGAGAGACAGGGCAAGGTAAAACAAAGACCTGCTCCCTGCCTTGCCTGTTCCAGCTACTGCCAACAGATCTGGCTGCCCTTGGCCGTGCTAGGAGGAAACCTTGGAAAACCTGTTGGATGCAGCTGGCAGATGCTAGTAGTACGAATGAGGGACGTGGCACTGACCGAGTGGGAACGGTGAGGCCTATCCCGCCTGTCCTCCCAGAGCCACCTCCTTTGGAGGGCAGCTGACGTTTGAACCGGCCTGCATAGCTTTGGAAATGCAGGGCAAACCCATTCAAGCACCTGTGTACCAACAGGAGACCATTGCTATCTCCAGATGGGATTCAGAGAGACAGCCCCAATCCCGGCCCTGTTCGGAGGGTGAGCCTGCTGGAGCGGGGAGAGTCCCTCGCTAGGTGCGTGTACATCCCCCCCGCCACGGGGCCTCTGACTTGCCCTGAGTCTGCTGGTGTTGTTATAGGGCAAATCAGATAACAGCAGATGGGGTCGATGCATCAAGCCCACCCCACTCTACCTACATTTTGGGGTCACCATGACCCTGCCAACCTGTGGAGCTGCAGACCTGCCCCCCATCCCATGTGGCCCTGCATCAGAGGAAGAGGACCCGAAGGAGCACCTGTTCCACCCTGCAGGCTGGCCAAGGGAAACCCTTGACCCCCACTAGCTGGAGAAGCTGGGGGCCACGTGGGTACAGGCTGAGGTCCCTGGCGGGGCAGTGCAGCGCGCTGGGAAAAGAGCCAGCTCCAACAGATGTGAGCTTGCAAAGGGCTGTCTGCCAAGGTACGCTGCGGTCCCTGTCCCAGCCATAAGCTGGGTGGTCCACGCACGCAGCCCCCAGCTGCAGAGGTGCCCCAGACACGCGCTTACCTATGACAAAGGCCTCTTTGGACTGCGCCCCGTGCTCGTTGTACCACGGCGGCCGTCCGGCCGTGTAGATAGTCCTTTTGCTGGTTCGTAGCAGCGGGGGCTCGGACTTGCATTGGCTGGTGGTCCGTTTCCGGGGCGGCCGCGTGGGCGCTGCGGGGGGGTAGAGTCTGTCCAGGGATTCTGCACTGCTGTGGCTGGAGGGGAGAGATGGAGACACCTGGTCACCTGGAACGGAGGCATCTTGGGCACCCCTCACCTGACAGCCTGGCCCCGAGAGCCAGCACGATGCACCCCCCGCCCAACCTCAGCACGATGCCGGAGGCTGTCTGCAATGGGTCCTGGCCATATCAGTGGAAGCCCACTCGCACACCCCAGCAAGGGGGTCCCTGGGGAGGCAGGGCGGGGGGAGCCTCCACGCTAGTCCCAGGACACAGAGCAATGGGCTGTCTTCCGAAAACCAGGCAGCCAGTGCCTTTCCAGCTGCTCTGGTACCTGGAGGACTGCCCAGGCCTGGAGCAGCCGGCACCGTGCCGCTTAAGCACCTTTTGCCCGCATCACCTGATGCCGCAGCGCAGGGCAGGGAGGGAGGGACAGCAGGGGACGAGCCACCTTCCAGAGCCCTTTCGTGTTTGGCAGCACAGAACAGAGGCCCGGGAGGCGTTTGATGGCTCGGGGCCAGGAGATAAGCTGCCGCTGGCCGAAAGCAGGGACAGAAGAGATTATTTATATCAGATCCTGTTCGCTCGGGCTCCCTGCCCCTGCCCGCTCTTCGCTGCAGGTGCGAGTGGGATAGTTACGCCTCTTAAAGGCACCTAAGGGGAGAACGACTGTGCCAGGCCAGGCCAGGCAGGGAGCCAGGCTCGCACACCCCCCTTTGCAGAGGTGGCCTGAGCATGAAGGGAGATGGGGTCCGGGAAAGCCGAGACCTGTCCTCATTGCCCCAGTGAGTCTGCAGCTGGGCTGGCCATGCCAAGAGAGTGTCATCTGCCCTCCCCAAACCATCCTCCAAGCAGCGGACTAGGGGGGAACCCATGCTCTGCATCGCTCCCCCCACATGACCCCCCCTGCCCTACCGAATCCTGCTTAAGCAGCACTGCTGCAGCCGTGGCAGGCACCTGGCCAAGGGATTAGAGAGATCATCTACCCGGCCTGACATCTGCCACCTCCACCCCCGACCCCGACGCACGGCTAGGGCAGGTTGAAGGACCCACTCATCCGCCCAGACTCATGCCAAGTCCTCTTGAGAGCTGAAGGGCCCTGTTGGCTCATAAGCCTTCCTTGCCACTAACTGCATTGGGCTTTCCCCTCCCTGGCTTGTCTTTGAAAAGCCAGAGATGGAAGCCTGGCTGACCCCTCTGCCACAGACTCCCAGGGTGACCTTGGGCAAGTCACTTGATGCAGTTCTGCAATGTCTGTGCAACTCTGTCCAAGGGAGTTAGCTGCGCTGAGCACAGCGTGTTAGCTTGGGGGGTACGCCATGCCACGGTAGCTAGCACGGGCAGGCCTAGCCCTGGGACGTACCCGCACACCCACAGGCAGGGTTTGCAGTCCTACCTTGCCTGCTCCATCTGCTTCCCTCCCAAGCAAGCACTGTGCCCAGCCCCTGAGCCCCGTCCTGCAGCACTCCTGGCAGGTGCAGGGATCTCTTCACACACCTCTTCTTGCAGGATCCGAATCGTGGGGGCTGCCTGTGTACGACAGGGGCTCCGGACACAGCCACAAACTAATAAAACCTGATCATGGAAAGGTCTCTGGACTTTCTCTCTGTGCGAGCAGCAGCAAGGGAGCTCCTTCCAGCCCAGAGACGGTGGAAAAAGCAAGAACAAACAGCTTGGGTATTTTGCTCTGCTCTCCCTCCTGCGGCTCAACAGCATCAATTAACCAGCGCGCACGATCCCCACGGCGGAGCTGACATCAGAGGCGGTGGCGGGTGCGTAAACAAAGTCACGGTCGCTTGATGAGAGCCGAGATGACAGACGCTGTTCTTATTTACCAGGAAATAAATGGCTCGTTTCATCTGCATTCCCAGCTCCAGCCCCTGGGGAATGGGGCTGCTGTGCTTGGGGAGCTTTACCAAAGGCAGGTGCAGGAGGTCAGCGACACGAAGCCCTTCTCGCTTGCGAGTTCCCGATGCACATCAGCGATCCCGCTTGCGAGCAGGCGTGTCCAGCTCTGGGATGGAGCCGGCCAGCACGTCAGGGGAGGGTTGTCACACGTCTCCACTGGAGCCCCAGCCCAAAGCATGATTACTACCCAGAATGAGGATCCAGGCCAGCCTGAGTGCCGAGATCTTGCTACCCAGAGAATCACAGAAAATGAGGATCGAAAGGACCCCAGGAAATCACATCTAGTCCAAGCCCTGGCTCCAAGCAGGACCAGCCCCAACTAGATCACCCCAGCCAAGGCTTTGTCGAGCTGGGTCTTAGAAGCCTCCATGGACCTACCTGCATGGACGCTGCAGAACTGCATCAAGTGACTTGCCCGAGGTCACACCGGGGGTCTGTGGCAGAGGGGGCAGCTGGGCCTCAGTCTCTGGCTTTTTAAACCAATGGGCGGCCCCAGCTTTCAGAAGTGGCTTCCCCTGGAGTTTGGGTGGAGTGAGCTACTCCGAAAAATCTGCCCCGGGGTCAATTAGATTGTAGCCACAATTAGTGGCCACCCCTGCAAGTTTAGACCTCACTATCTTCTCTTTCTCCATCACCTCGGGGGATCCCCTGGGACAGCCAGCCTTGGTTCCCATCTGCCTCCCCTTGGATTGCCATTTATTTCCCTACTCAGATACTTATGCAGCGCAGCGCAACTGCTGCGACCCATGCCTCAAGGGGTATTTCCCCAGGAGTTATCTCAGATGCACGCTGCTCAGAGTGGGTTTTGGGGCTGGCAAAGATCATTTAAGGCTGCTCAGATCGTTTATTGCCACATTTGCCAGTGAAATCTCCATCTCTGGAGGCTTTTAAGGCCCAACTTGACAAAGCCTTGGTTGAGATGGCCTAGTTGGCGCTGGTCCTGCTTGGAGCAGGGGGTTGGACTAGATGTGACCTCCTGACGTCTCTTCAACCCCCATTTTCTATAATCCTGTAGTTTGCTGGGAGTGCCCTAGCACTCTCCTGCTGCCCCACAGCCCTGGCCAGGCCCTGACAGCTCCTAGATCATGTCTTTTGTTGGCTCCATTGTCTTTTCCAGGTCAGTAGGTCAATGATGGATTGCATTGCGATACAACCCCGCTGACTTATCCTGCAAGGTCCTGCAATGATAACATGATGATTTTGATTGCCTTGGAGAAGCACCCAGGGACCCCCATCCTGGAGCTGGATTCCACTGGGCAAAGAAGTGCTCAGGCAGCAGAACAAAAAAGAGGGTCCTTACCCCAAAAGCCTACAACCTAGGGGGCCAGCGTTTCAGCTGGGACCTGTCTATGAATCTATGACCCTCTAGACACCACCAACATAAGCCAAGAGAGACAGCAGCAAAGTTTAATGCGCATGACTTAACTCTGCACTCCAGGGGCTGCATCCAGCTCTGTCCCTGTATCAAGAGGCGCTTATAAAAAAAAAAAAAAAAAAAGGAAGCGACTCATATTTTGTATTAGGAGGGGAAACTGGGAGCTGAGTTTCTGGAGAGATTGGATCTGGTGCAGAAAGTTGCTTGCAAGAGGAGCGCTGCTCCCCTGGTGTCGGAGAGGACATGTCCAAGGAGAAGGGGCTGCAGGACAGCCCTCTCGCCTGGCTCTGGGAAGGGTGTCAGGGACCCACGGGGAGCACAAGAGCATCCTGCAATTTTGAAACCCAATGGTCTGCACTTGGGCTCTCAGTTGCTGTCCCAATGCCACCAGCCAGCAGTGTGTAGCCCTCCCCAGAGCCAAGCTGCAGCTTTTGAACGAGGCACCCAGAGGAGACTGTTGTTTCAATTGTGCTGCTGACAGCCCAGCGTTGGTGCCCCTTATGGGGGCTGCACGGGGATCCTTCCCCGTGGTGGCATGCTGCTACAGGTAAGGCCTCCAAATGCATCTGTGTGACCGAGAAGCCCAAGTCTTGCTGAAAGCCCATGGAAAACGTTATACTGGGGGAGTAATCCTAGTTTCATGGGACTCAGTGGGGGCTTTGCCTTTGGAGCTGGGATGCCGCCCTGTCTTCACATCGCTTCCTCCATGCAGGCGGCCAAGCTAAACTCTGCCTTTCCTGACAGCCCTGCCACCTCATCCAAGGGCTCCGGAGGGGAAACGTTAACGGGCCTGAAGACAAGCATCTTGTTGCATCCTGGTCTGGGAGCTCCAGGCTGCCTGGCACGGCAAGTCGTGGGCAGATATACTGGCACATGCGACAGGAGCTTTTTCTTCATTGCTCGTATTTAACCACCATCCAGGGAGCCATCCTGCGACGCAGGTGGTCCCTGCACAGAGCACCCCCCGGCCAGGGGATGAGCGGCGGATGGAAGTCAGTGAGAACAACCCCCAGGAGGTCAGACTGTCAGAAGTCATGCAGCAATGTTCCCCTGCTCCCCAAGCAGCCAAGAGAGGACAAACCCCTACAGCTGGATCCAAGACCACTGAATTCATGGCCAGATCCCCCCACCCCAGGGCCTCGTCTCCGTTTGCAACACGCTGCCCTAAGCTTCGGGATGCCAGCCAAGAGCAGGGACGCTGGAGCTGGGGGAGGCCGATCTTTCTCCAGCTGCTGCCTCCCGAGTACCAGCCGGGACAAACAGCCCTGGTGCTCCCGGCTCCGGCACAGCCGAGGACTCGTTTGCAAGGCTACAGGAAGGGAAAACAAATGCAAGCATGCAATGGAGGACACTCACCTGCCTTCAGCCCCCAGGGCCCAGCAGCCCGATATCCGGACCCCTGCGTACGTCGGGGGGCTGCTCATCTCGCCCTGCCTCAGAAGAACCAGGCAGTCCCAGGTGCAGGAGTTTCCGCGGCTCGCTGTTTCATCCCTGCCTGCGAGGCACTAACATTGCAGCAGGGCGAAGGGACCGGGTCAACCCGGGCCATGCGGAGGGCTGGTCCCTATGGGCAGGGAGGCTGGAGCAGGGCGTGCGGCATGACTGGCTGCTGGGACAGGTCTGCAGGGCCTGGCGCACGAGTGAAGGGCTGAGAACTGAGCAAGGAGTGAAAGAGCAAACGGGAGGTGCGCGGTGGTGTCCCGGAGCAGCCAACAGGCATAAGAGGATAACCAAACCCAGAGATTATGCTCATTACCTGATATTAATAGCACTGACTTTGCAAGCGGTGGCGACACCGCTTCCCACTGCTGCAAAGACAAACACGCCCGGGGCCCTCACCTGCTTCTGACAGTCAGAGCCCAGCTTGCTGGGGGCAGCAGAGGGGACAGCCCCGCGGCCTGGGTAAGTGATGGGATGACCCCCTGGTCTGAGCCACTCCATGTGCTTGGTCAGAGGGGTGTAGAGCTGGGACGGTGGGGTAAGATGGGAAAAAGGGGTTGGGGAGGGGAAATGCAGTCACGGGGGTGGAAAAAGTGCAGTCACCGAGCAGGTCCATGTCCCGCGAGGATCTCATATGATGCATCCTCTGTCAGGGGAGCATGGCTCCGAACAGGATCCGTGGGGATGGAAGGGAGCGGCCCCGTGTTAAGCAGCCAGGTGCCGAAGGCACCGCTGCTCCTTCCGGGACCCAGAGAGGGGGTGCAGGGGATGCGGGGCTCTTCTCCTGGCTTGCGCCCAGTGCTGCAGCCATCTACCCACCCCCATTCCCTGTGCGCCTTTGCTGCAGGGCTCCCTGGAGGGCAGCGCGGCAGCCCCCAGCCTCCTCCGGCTCTGGCATAAACAAGTTGCTGAAACCCAACACCCCCATCATGGGCAAGCAGGCACCTAAGAATAACACGCCCAGCGCAGAAGGCCCCTGCATTCTGCACTCTCAGCCCTTCGGGTGCCAGGCACTGCATTGCGCTCCCTCCCGCTGCTGTGCTTTCCAGCCGCTTCTCCCCACAAAGGGAGGAGGTGCTCACAGGGCATGGGGCAGGAGCTTGGCAGCTGCAGGAAGAGCCCCGGTGCCAATGCCCCAGGCTGCGTAGGATGAGCAGCCAGGGAATTTGCAAAGCAAATGCGAAGAGCAAGGGGGAAAGGGTGGAGAGGGCAAGGCGCTGCGTGGGTAGCATCGCGGATGCACTGGCACAGCAAGCCTGGCAGGGCAAAGGTACCTGGGAGGCAGAGGGGTCCGTTTACAGCACAGAGTACCTGTTAGATCAAACAGGGCCTGGCAGGAGCCTCGCTAACACCTGGGCGCTCACATTGTCCCACACCAGCCGGGCTGCTATATGTGCGATGCCCCCCTGAAATACTGGTGACGGGCCCCTCAGCCAAGCAAAAGGGGCTGTGTTTGAATGAAGAGAGGACAGAGCACACCTGGCTGACACCTGCAAAGATCAGGGAACGGCGGGCGTGCGTCACTCATCCCCAGGCAATAATGCTACAAACCTGCAAGGAGCTTCCCAGCTGCCCCACAAGCCCAATCAATCAGTGCCAGGCTCCACCAAGCAATTCAGCCTTGACCTGATGGGACCAAGCCCCCACAACCGCCCAAGAAGGAGCTGCTCTTTCCATCCAGCTCCAGCGTCTGATCGATGCTGCTGGAGTTTGAATCTGGGGGACCTCAGGCCTTTGCCAAATGCAACTCCTGGGACCTGGGAAGAGAGTGGAGAGGAGCAGCTTGAGACAGCTGGGCAGGACAAAAAAAGTGCCCTGACCCCTTGAAGCAGCCTTTTGTGCAATGACGGGATGTGCCCAGGACATTTCCTGCAGGTACCTGGGCAGAGATACATGGCACCAGAGCCACTGGAGCCTGTCCTGTGTTCCTGGGTGAGCCCTTGGACAGCTGGTTTCCAGAACATCCCCATGCACCACAGCAGGTAACAACGACCCTGCAATGGGCCGTGAGAAGAGATCTGGGGAGACCAGAGTGCAGGCAGGTGGGGTTTGCCCCCGACGCACTTAGGAGGTGAACTGTGCCCTGTGCTGCAGAGGAAAGAGTGCTGCGATGCTGTACAGCACCTAGCACAGCTGGCACCCAGATCCTGAATGGGGCCCTGGGGTCTAGGATAGCAAATGGGAGCAACAGATGTGCCATGCTGATGTGATGCAAAGGGCTCCTCCATGCCCGGGTCCTGTCCTGAGACACTGGGCCGGGAGCAGCCACGCTCCTTCCTGAGACGCAGGCTCTGAAAGCCAAGCCCCGGAGGCCCACCTGCTGCCTGCCTCCAGTTTTTTTTTATTGTATTTTTTTTATTTTTAAGGAAAATGTTGTATGTGCCAGGTCGAAAATCTTTCAATTGTTCAAGAACCACATGTGGCCTGACTACTGGCAAGTATCCTCCAAGCCTAAACTTCCCAGTCGGTGGCTTCAGTGACTTCCAAACCTTTTGGCAGGCATCCTACGTGCAGGCCCAAGGGGTCTGGGTGCCCTCGAAATTGCTTGCCTTCAGCTGCATGGCCGCAGGAACAAACTAGGGAGCATTCGATGCTATGTCACTATGCGCGCTAAGCCAAAAGACCAAGCCCTCTTGAAACGGGGCTACTCAGGTGAGTAAGACGAGCAGGAGATGGGGGCAGAGGACTCGGGGGTCAGCAGGCGATGCGCACTTAGGAGCAGCAGCCGGGCGGATGTACGGTAGCGTTACCCCACACCATGACGGCTGAACCCTTGCACCGCAACGGTGCTGGAGACGGGGACTTCTGGAGGAAGAGGAGCACTGCTCGGCAGTCTGCGAAGGAGATGCAAAGGCAACGCCGATGATGCATCCCCCACCCGGCGCGTTGTCCCGAGCCCTTACCCCCAAACACCCACAGCAATTAGAGGCTGGTGAACCGGCTTCAAAGGCTGCTCAGAGGAACTTTGTCGATGCCGGACTCGTATTTTCCACTCCCCCTTCTGCGTCAGGCCCTTTCAGGCGTTTAAAAATAAACCCTGGCCTCAAAGGCTTCTATTCTTTCTTCTTTGCGAGAACAGGCAGGAGGAGGCAGCGTCCTAACGAGTCCCCGCCAATGTGGCATTGTTCCCTCTCGCTCGGTCCCCCCTGCCTTTTTCCTGCCTTTGTTTAAACATCCAGGACATGGGTCTATCGCTCGTTCTCTACCCACCAGAATGGTTGTGGTGGGGAGAGATGTTTTTTATGGTCGCCAAAAAAAAGAAAAAAAAATCGTTGTCTCCCAAGAAAAGCCCACAAAGCCCTCGTGGATGGAGGCTACTCTCTGCAGGCCTTGCCTCCCGCTTCCCTGGGACAGGAGGGCTAGAAAAAAACGTGCAAGGCGATACTCCTGTGTGCTCACAAGTCTCCGGGAGCTGGGGCCAGGAAAGGAAACGCACGCAACACAGGGTGGCCGGAGAGGAAACAGTGAGCGGCAGAGACACAGAGACTCCCTGCATTCGCTTCATGCTGCTGTTGCCAGGGGCTAGCTATACACTTCAAGGAAATCTTGCTCTGGTTAGGTCCCAACATTGCCGGGGCTCAGACGCAGCATATCACCTCGGTTGCATTACGTCTCTGGCCTACCTCCCCTGTCCCCATCTGCCCCCCGCGTGATCTCTTCTGGCCATTGGACTCAGAGGCCAGGCTTTATGCAGCATCCCCCAGGCTGATTGAGGGGAGGCCGCCCTTCCTTGGAAACATCCCTGTCTGCTGAGCTTATCCGATCGCTTCCCGCCGCCGGGGAGAGCTTATCAGGCAGCAGGCAGGCTCTGTCTCAGAGCTTTTTTTCTGGCCGGGCTTTAGACACGGCAGAGAGAAAGGCAGAGAATAAGCCGCAGCTCTCCCATGCTCTCCAAAGGGATGCACAGACTCGAGGGATGTTCCCCAGCACGCAGCTTGCTCCTGGAGATGGGCCTCACCCCCGTACTGGGGAGCCCGCACCTTCCCTCTCACCGTCTCCCTCTATGCACAGAAGTCCCCGGTCCTGAATGGGTGCAGGGGAGAGACACCAGCAGCAATCACAGCCTCCAGGCTCTGCTCAGACAGCCGGTCTGCATCCTGAGGACACAAGGACTCAAGAAACACCCACCGGAGTAACCCTGGTCTAATGCCAGTTCTCTGCACGGCCATTAAAGAAACCACTTTCCCAGTCTCGGACATTTTCTAGGGCAGAGACCCAAGAGGACTGGGCAGAAAGACAGCTCCAACAGACCCCCGTCTGACCTCACAGCACGGGTGCTTTCCATTCAGACCCTCAGCGGTATCTGTCCATCTATGGAAAGAGGGGAGCAGCCTTTGCCTCCTTTCTGGCCTGCCCCAACTCGTCACATCCTTTGCTGCAGCAGGTGGAGGGAGGCAGTAGACGGGGGAAGCAGCCCCCCTTCTGCACATGCCCCCCCTTCCCATGCCAGATAGCATGGCATTGCTACGACCTGGTGAAAGCACTGCAAAACCCCACCTGGGCGGTGCTAACCTCTACCGAGAGCACCACCAACGAGGGGGCAAAGCGAGACAGGGGCCTTTCCCACTCCCTTGCGGAGAAGCGGGGCCCTCCGGAGACACCTGATTCAAGTGTCAAGGGGGTAAAAAGTTTCTGCTAAAGTAAGATCAGGCCCTGAATCTGCAGCTGCGACAGCCACAGACAAGTTCAAGGGGTAGCCAACAGCATCCTCTAGCGGGAAACCCCCAGATAATCCATCACAGCGGAAGAGACACAGGCGACCTCCACTTCCTTGTATAGCAAAACCCAGGCCACGCTGACCCAGCCCAGGAAGGCCGACCTCACGGAAACCGCAGGGTCGAGAATGCGCAGCTACGGGGGGGCGGATCTCCTAAAGCGACAGAGGCCGTGAAACAGTGCAGGGCTGACGTCCGGCACAGAGATATGGTGCTGCGACCCGCTGAATCGCGAGCAAATTATTCTTTGCCCATGCTAGTGCTGGTACGATGGGGACCCAGGCCACATACACACACTGTTAATCTCCCTCATTAAGCCTTT